CTAATAGAAAAATGAGCAAAAGATATGGGCAATTCATAAAAGAGATCATAGAAATAGTCAATAAACACTTGAAAATATATTTAACCTCATTAATAATAAATTAATAATATGCTAATTAAGCCTATCACAAAATACCATTTTCACCTACCAAATTGGCAAAAATTTTAAAAAGAATAGAAAATAGGCCCTAAAAGTGGATGTTTCTAAATCTGAAGATACTTATCAAGGAATTTCAATGAAACTCATGAGCAATTAAGAATTTTAACCCTTCCTCGATTGTATATGTTTTCTCTGTTTTGTGTTTTCATTGTTTCTGGGCCAAGGGAATTTAGCCAGCAGTGCCAAGGGTGAAGGGATTTGCCAAGCCTTGTCAGAAGACGAGCACACACAAGGAGATGAAGCATATGTGTGTGTGTGTGTGTGTGTGTGTGTGTGTGTGTGTGTGTGCGCGCGCGCACACCAGGTTTCTCACTGTTGAAGAAAGAAATTACAGATATGGACACAAAGACTAGAATAAATCCTAAGGTGATGGATTACAATTGGAGCTATTTTTGTATTATCTCATAGTTTTAAATAGGTAGGTAGGTAGACACACAGAGAGACAGACACAAAACACCAACTTGAAGCAAAGTTTGAGACAGTTTGAGCATCAAATTAAATAGTGATAGTACTGAAATATAAACCATTGACTAAAATAGGAATCTCTGAATGTAGATTGAATATAAGTATATAAATGGGGAAGAAGAAAAAGCTCTACCTTGCAGCAGAATGCCAACTAATACATGTAGAATGATGGAATCAGATAAACAAATTGGCAACCATCATCATAATTATTTCAGGCAAGAATCAATGGATACTAAGTTTGATGAGAAACAGGACATTTACATTACCTCAATATATCTCTCCACAAAATATTTACTTGCTAATTAATTAAAAAGTAGAAAATACTTATTATTATAATTTTCCAGAGAAACAATGTGGCAGACACCATCTCAACCTAGAAAGAAAAATGAACATTACTAGGACTTCTGTTTCCAGGAAGATAGAATAGATGCACTTTTCCTTCCTCCTCTTGCTAAGTACAACAAAAACCCTGGACTTTGTATACAACATGACAGAAGATACTCTGAAAAGGGGAGGTAAGTATGCAGACTGACCAGGGAACTCGGGACAGAAGAATAACACTGTCGTAAGTTTTCTGGGTGTTCTTTTTGCTCGTACATCCCAAACTGGATACTGAAAGAGCCAGCCAGCCATCTAGAAACGCTAATGGGTATAGACCAAAAAAAAAAAAAAAAGCCTGCTCTCTCTAGCCATAATGTCATATGACCAGGAAAGGGACAGCCTGGAAAGGCTGAAAACTCTTAGACAATAACCTCTCTACTCCCGCTGAACACCACAGAAAAAACTGTGCTCCCGTCCTTACCCGCACTGGCTAAAGCTAAGTGGGAAGCCTACACTTTCTTCTCACCTGGCTGCAGTGAGGCCCAGCTCCCCGCTGGAGTGGAGTCAGGCCAAGGAGGGAGCCAGGACTTTCATCCCTGTGATCCTGCCCTCCCTCTGCCACTCAGTGTCAGTGGAGACCATGAGGAGAGCAGGGACATCTAATCCTAATTGGCAGTAATGAGGTACCACTCCACTCCCCACTGGGATGGTGTCAGAAGAGGCCTAGGAGAGACCAGGCGTTCATACCACCTCGCAGTGAGAGGCCACCCTGTCCTCTGACATCAGTAGAGGCCAAGGTGAGAAGCAGCTATTAGGCACTCCTACCCCTCCCAGTCAGGGAGGCATCAGTGGAGGCCCCGTGGGGAATTTTGACTCTACCCCAGTTGGCAGTTAGGAGACAGTGTGCCCCTAATAACGTGGTATCGAAGATGCCAACTAAATCAGGACGTTTAAATATGATCCAGAGTCTCATAACTTAATACCTAAAATGTCCAGGTTTCAACCAAAGATCATTCATCACACCAAGAACCAGGAAGACCTCAAAAGGAATGAAAACAGACAATCAACAGAGGCCAACACTGAGAATGCAAAATGTTAGAATTTTCTCATAAATATTTTAAAGCAGCCATCATAAAAATGCTTCAGTGAACAATAACAAACACACTTGAAATTGAAACAAACTGAAAAATACAAAATGACATAAAAATATAAAGAACTGAATGGAAATTTTAGAACTGAAAAATGCAATAGCTGACATAAAAGTTAACATCACCAGAAATGGTACAGATTGATATTGTGTACCTTCCGATATGATGCAATAAGAATATAACATCACTTCATGCTTTACCATGTTTCTGACAAAAAATACCTGCAGGGGAATCTAATCATGAGGAGCCATCAGACAAAACCAAATTAAGGTACATTCTACAGAGTACTGAACTGTACTTTTCCAAAATATCAAGGTCATTAAAGACAAGGTAGGCCTGAGGAACTGTTTCAGGTTGGAGGAGATCAGAGGGTATTGACAACTAAATAAAACATATGATCCTGAATTGGTCCTGGAACCATAGAGAATATTATTGAGACAATTGGTGAAATTTGAATGAGGCCTGAGGATTGGATGATAGTGTTATTTCACTGTTGATTTCCTGAATGTGATTATTACACTGTAGTTGCATAGGAATGTTCTTGTTTCCAAGAATTACACAATTCCATGTTAGAGGATAATGAGTTATCCTAACATATCTCTAACGTATCAGCTACTAGCTCTCAAATGGCTCAGGAAAAAATCAATATGTACAGAGAGTATAAAAAAGCAAATATGATAAGGTGTCAACAATTTGGGAAACTGGGCAAAGGGCATATGAGAATTATTTGTCTAATTATTTCAACATTTCTATCAATTTTTAATTAAGTCAAAATAAAAGTTAAAATAGGAAATTAACTGAATAAATTAGGGTTCATTTTGGAGAACAGGAAAATATGTAATTGTTAAAAATTATTCTGAAGATCTCAATTAATCTGAAAAGATATCTGATACAGTAAATGAAAAAAAACAAGTTATAAAATAGTGTGTAGAGTGTAATCTTTTTTTGAAAAAAAAAGTGCTATAAATGCAGAAAAATGGCTGGAAATATATAAAGCAAAATGTTCACATTGGTTATCTCTGAGAATGTTTTTTTCTTACAATGAGTTATCAGTTTTATAATCAGAAAAGACAAAACCTGTTTCTGTGGGCAGGGAGGGAGGAACAGGGTAGAGAAAGGATTGCAACCAGCAGATAATTGCCACTGCTGTGGCTTCCTGGTTAACACACCACATTCCATTTATTATTCCTTAGGAAGAGACCAACTATAAGGGCAATAAAGACCATTACTGTGAGTTCCGCTTGGTCTTTACAGTTCTTGTAAATGGATAAACTGATGTTCTCAGCTTTACGCATTATTCCCATATAAATTTGGTTAGCTGGAGTGAAAGTCTTTAAAGTGCAGTCACCTCTGAGTGTTTTAACAAAAGGAAATTCTATTGGGTCATCGGGAAAGTCATGACGTATTTTTCTATGTTTTTCATCGCAAAAATGTGTCATGACTTTCCCGAAGACCCAACAGAACCAACAAAGCTCAGACTCTAAATGAGTAGAGCTTGCCAAGATACTGCAGACCTGTGGGAATCTGTCTATAAAGCCAACTAGTGTCCTCCAGGACACTTTCCTCTGTATCATTTCACCAAACTATACCAATAAGCCCAGAGGTCACCCAAGTACAGGTTTTGGCAGTGAGAAAGGGAAACTATAGATTCCTACATATGGAGTATCAAATCAATCATCAATCTTTGAAAAGGGATTGGATGATAACATTATAAAAGGTAAAGTAACCCTTATCTGCCTTCATAAGTCAAAAGGTGAGTACTCAGGGGCACCTGGTCATTTCCAATGATGACATCACTATGTGGATTAGGACCAATGATGAGGCGGAGGCCCTGTGTCCACTTAATAGGTTTTAAATTAAGTTAATGAGACAAGTTTGAATCCTCTACTAGAAAATCACTATGCACAGTCAGGATTGAGTGTTCATGTCATGAATTAGGTAGATTTTTTGCTTCTCTTCCTCTCTCCCCTGCCTATTTTCTATCAAAGACAAAGAAAATGACAATCAAATATAAATGCCATTTTTTCCCAGAGGGTCTCTTACATTTGGTGAGTGAGGAAGTTAAAAATTAATGACTAAAAGTGGTTTGGGGATATAACAGATATCATTTATTTCACCATCCTGCTTTCCATACTAGATTATCAAGATTTACTGGTAATAATTTGATCCAATTCTCATGTCATGAGAGAATTAACCACTCTCATCAAACTTAAGTGTTTAAGAATCATCTTTGTCACAAAGTATCATTTAGCAATAGAATTAGAAAGTGTAGGGCCACAATGGGTTCAACTAATTTGAGGATGGGTGAAGGTGAACCATCAGATAGTTCAACCAAGAATATGGTAGGAGAAGTTGGAAGGCAAATCTCAAAGCATACTTCTGAATAAAGACTTCCTTCTCCAAGTAGTAATATAATTTGTATATAACACATACAAGAAGTAAAAAATAAGTGGTTTATCTCAGGAATGACCTCTCTTTATAAAAACAAAAAAGATGTACCATTTAATAAAATTCTCTCTCAAATATTTTTCCACGCTATGATTCATATAATTAAAATATTTCAATGATATTACTTAAATTTTATACATAAAATGTTCAAGTAGAACTGGAGGGGACATATATCTTTTAACCAAAAATATTAATGGTTTATAAAGATATAAAAATGATTCTTAAAATTACTGTTTAAATATCTGTTAGGGCCTTTGTTTGGCACCTATGAAAGTTAATGCCCATGGAATAAGAGAAAAATCAAACTGTATACCTCTTTGTAGTTAACACTCCCATCCTGAAGGTGGAGAAACTCTAGAGCTCTGTGTCCTGAGAGAAATAAACACATAAATCAATTAAGGTCAACTATAACTGACAACAGAACTTCCTAGAGACTGTTTTAAAAAGAAAGTATGAAGGCCAGCCGAGTGGCTCGTTGGTTAAGAGTTGGCTTGGGAAAGCGGGCTCTGAGCAGCAGGGCCGCCAGTTCGGATCCCACATAGGCCAGTGATGCTGTGCCCTCTACAACTAAGATGGTGAACAACAGCTCAACCTGGAGCTGGGCTGCCATGAGTTGCCGGCAACAGCGTAGGCTGCAGTGAGGCTGCAGTGGGCTGCCATAAGCTACCGTAAGTGGCCAGCAGCCAGCGTGAGCGGCCATCTAATGGCTGGCAACCAATCTGCCTCGGCTGGGAAAGAGTGCAATGATCATAATACCAACATGGACCAGTGAAGTGACGTCCTCCACAACTAGACTGAAGAACAAAAGGATGGCAACTTGTCTGTTCCCCTTCCCCAATTCCCCAATAAAAAATATTTTACATAATAAAGAAATAAAAAGAAAGTACGAGGTATGATCAAAGAATATGGTGAATGTTTAAATTTTTAAAAATGTATTACAGTAAAAGACACATTGCCATTAATCCCCCTTAAAATACTCCCCTTGCTTCAAACATACTTATCACTCTTGGCACCTTCTGAAGCAGTTCTGGAAGTCCTCTTTTGTGAGTGTTTTTAGTTGTGCTGTGGTGGCTGCCTTGATGTCTTGAATCAATTCAAAACATTTTCCATACATGGTCATTTTGACTTTGGAGAAGAGCCAGAATTTGAATGGTGCCAGATCTGGTGAATAAAATGGATGAGGACACACTGTAATGTTTTTATTAGACAGAAATTGCCATATACCAGATGCGATGTGTGACACAGAGCCTTTCTGTTGTGATCACAAAATACAGTGAATGCTGCTACTGAGTGCCATTCAACCCAAAGGCAGGGATCTTCAATATGGGAAGTGACATGTCGAACCTTAGTAACAGTGTGTGACAAGTTTCAACTTGTTCGGTGCAGTCAGTTGGGTGTGAACTACGGTTGAGAGAATGTGTGTTTTATTTTGTATGGTTGTTTTTTTTTTTTAAGATTTTTTTGATTGGGGAATTGGGGAAGGAGAACATTGTGTTTTTCCAGCACCCATGTCAAGTTGTTGTCCTTCAATCTTAGTCGTGGAGGGCGCAAGTTCAGCTTCAAGTCCAGTCACCACTTTCAATCTACAATAGTTGCAGGATGGGGGTGCAGCCCACCATCCCATGTGGGAGTTGAACAGGCAACCTTGTTGTTAAGAGCATGCGTGCTCTCACCAGCTGAGCCATCTGGCTGTCCATTGGAAGCTTAGTGGCAGCTCAGCTTGGGCACAGCTCACTGGCCCATGTGGGAATCCAACGGCAACCCTGTTGCTCAGAGCTTGCGCTCTTAACCAACTGTGCCACCCAGCCAGCCAGAGAAAAGATGCATTTTCAAGTGTGCCATAAATCATCCTCCATCATGACAATGCTCTGTGTCACACATTGCTTCTGGTATACGGAAATTTCTGTCCAATAAAAACATTACAGTGTGTCCTTATCCACCTTATTCACCAGACCTGGCACTGTGTGACTTCTGGCTCCTCCCCAAAGTCAAAATGATTCAGGACATCGAGGCAACCACAACAGCGCAACTAAAAACACTCACGAAAGAGAACTTTCAGAACTGCTTCAGAAAATGGCAAGAAAGATGGGATAAGTATGTTTGAAGCAAGAGGGAGTATTTTGACGGGGATTAATGGTAATGTGTCTTTTACCGTAATAAATTTTTTTATTTAAATATTCACCGTATTGATCACACCGTGTATATAATTTTATGGTTGTAACTGTCAAGGAAGTGGGAAATGAAAATTAAGTTTTTACTCACTTGTAATTTTCATCAGCCATAATTAGATTCATACAATATTTATATAAAAATATAAATACATTAATGAAAGTATAATATAGATATTATAATACAAGTCAAATTTGCATAATGATTTAAAGTTTCTGCTTAACTAGCTCTATGACCTTGGATAAGTTACTTAACCTCTCTAGTTCTCAGTTCCCTCCTATGTAAAATTGAGTAAATCATACCCACATTACAAGTTTGTTGAGAAAATCAGAGGAAATAAATGCTATGACAATCACAATGGCTGACACATGGTAGGAGCTCAAAAACAGAAGTTGTCATCATTATACAACCATATAATTATCATACCTCACCAACCTACTCAGGTAGATAAACCTAAATAGAAAACATGATACAGGGCCTAAACCATGGACTGAACCCATGATCCTCAAATGTTTTTTTATCATTGCACTACTTTAGAAGGACAAAAACATGTCTCACAGGGCCACCTGTTCCACCCATTCACCCCCACACAAAAGACACCCACACCCTGAATCTTCTTACAATCGACAGGAACATGAACACTCCTTGTGAAGAGATATTCAAAGGCATTTCTATTGTGAATAACATCCAATTTTTTAATTCATACAACAAAAAAATATTGCCACTATTATATTATAAATATTAATACCATAAGAGATATTCACAGCCCACACAAGTAACCTGTACATAGGATCTATAGACTAATGTACAGGTCCATGATTTATAGACCAAAACTACTGGATGAAACCAATTCTAATTAAGTAACTCACATCAATGTCAATCTTCCACACAGGCCCTATGTAAGAAGTGAAAATGTGAACCAAGATATTTATAAAATCGTCTAACTTATTAGTAAATAAATGTTGAAGTTTTAGTCTCCTTTTACATAAAAAGCCTCAAAATGGCAGGTTAGAAGTTGCCTTCAATTATGTTCACATAAATATGTGTGTGTTTAATATATTAACATATTTAACATGCTCAATATATCATCTATTAATATATTATGTTTAATATATATTGATCTATTAGGACCTTTGTTTGGCATCTACTGAAGAAAGGCAAGCAATTATTTGATTTTGTTAAAATTTTAGATTTCATCTGTCTTGTTAATTTTTAAACTCTAAGGATTAAAAACTTTAAAAATCCCACTTATATTTGTTCCTCTTTGTTCTATTTCTATAGTGGTAGCAATTTCAATTTCACAGAACTTAGACTTGGAAGAGAATATGGAATTCATGAAGAAGTCCAACTCCCTTATTTTACAAAGAGGAATTAAGACAGTGAATTGCTCGGAGTCACTAGTGTAGTTTATGGAAGAGCTAGTGTTAAAACCTAGGTCTGGTTCTCTTTTCCATTGTCTCCTGACTCCCTTTTAGCAATAAATGTTTAGTGGAAAGAACACTGGACTAGCTGTGAGGCCATGTAATTCTAGGATCAATTTCCTCATTTGTATACTCAAGGAACTAGACTCGGTGACCTCTAGTGTCCCTTCAAATCATAAAATTCTGTGATATGACTCTTGCCCACCAAAGCTCAATATCTAGGTCTATTTTGCACTGATAAATTCATATTTTATTTGTAATCTTGTTCTGCTTTATACCTTCTGGAGGTAGCATCGCTATAAAATATTGTTACTGTTTTTATCTCAAGAAGACTCACGTGTCAGGTACATCTGAAATGAATGCGAAAACTGCTGTGTAATGTAATCTCTATAATTATATCACAAATTGGCTCACATTTTCCATGAAGTAAAAAACATTACAAATATACTGCACACAAGAACCACATCTTGGTGCTGCCCTTCACCCATATCCAGATAACTCTGCCTTCACCCCTGAGCTTGTGGACACCGCTAACTATAATATACCCCAGTCCTTCCCAACTCCTGTCGTCATTCTGGGCGCCTCTAATGCCAGGGACTATTCAAACTCCCTTGCTGCCCCTGAAGCCAACCACCTCTAAAGCCACTTGACTCAGGAGACCCACTCCCATGGCCACATGTGGGCCTTTACATATAGTTGGAAATGTAAAACAAGAAATTAAATTCCTCACTCCCACCACATTCCACCCATCTTTCTCCTCTCCCACACTATCAGTTCTTCTGCAACCTCTGGTTTATACAGCGCCTCATCATTTCCCGACCCAGAGAAGGCCCTGGGACCCTCTTGCTTCCTGCCCTTCCACTGACCCCACCCGGCAATCCCCACACCTGGAGGACTCCAGTCCTGGCTTTCTCCTCCCTGCTGCCCAGTGGCTCAGCACAGCAGGCAAACGAGTTATCAACACATGGGCTAGACTTCCAATCTCTTAATATTTTTGACAGATTTAGTGACCTGAATACCATGACAAGGCACTGGTACTTACCTATTTCTACGTGTGTTGAAATGCCACACGGTGAGCCTCTGGGGCATAGAGAGCCCAACGCAATCAGCAGGCCAGACCAAAACCTGAAAGCAGACACGCTCTCATCACTCACTGCTCCTCTGGTGCTGGGAACCGCTCTTGAGCTGGCAGCGCCAAGACTGAAATGCAGGCCCAAACCCACCGCTTTCCCTCCGAGGACATCACTAACACCAACACTAAGCCTCATTTCAAAATAATATCATCTGCCTGTAGAGTTAACTGTTTACTGTTTAACTTCACTGGAACAGCAAACAAACTGCACCTGGGAGAGAAAAACCGTGAGAAACTGAAATCTAAATGCTGCCAGGTAGAAACACAGCATCTTCTGACAGAGGGAGGTATCCCTTGCATCTCTTTCTAACACGAAATTTGTATGAAGACACAAGCAAAGTTGTCTCCAAATATTCTTTACTTTCTGTGGGGGAAAAAAAAAAAAAAGCCTCACCTGTCTGCACTGACAGTCAATAGAATGGCCCGCCTCACCTTACAAGGGCTGCCGGCCCGGGCATCCTTTCCATGCATGTATCAGCTAGCCCTGCTCCTTGGCCTCCAAGCCTCAAGTGCTGGGAAAGCTTTTATGATGATCAGCTGGAACCAGCTTCTCTTTCAGTGTTTGGCAACAGATACCAGCACTTGTATGGGATTACACAAGAGCAGCCGCTCCTGGTCTCTCTACCCATGCTCGTTCCTACAGGGTTGATCCAAAGCCTGTTGCACAGTCAGATTCCTGCAGCCCGAGCAAAGATGCCAATTCCATTTGTGAGGGTGGGAGCAGGGGACAGATTTAAGACCAAGAAACAAGGGTTCAGAAAATGGTAGGCTCAGGATATACTTGTCATGAAGTATCCAATCTATAGCACTTAATTTGCAGGGAAACAAATTAGGTTGAACTCTTCATGGAAATGATGGTGATCTTAGAGCTCAACTTATGCATATTATACGTTAAAAGAAAGAAAGGAGATCCTAAAAGAGTGGGAGGGAATGATGTTCATTCTCAGGTTAGCTGAATGGAAGACTAGGAGATGAGATGATTTGAGACCCTTAATCATCTGCCAAGTTTCCTCTGTAACCTTAACTCAAGTCACCTGCAAAGCCTCAGGAAGGGAATTCTGCAGCCCGGCCTCATCAACCCTGGGGCATCAGGCCCAGCTGCTTTGAGGCCCGAGGCCATAAACTCATGTGTTTTGTTTGCTTATCAGGGTGTTTTATAAACTTAGGCCAACTTTTCTAAAATGGGGAAATTAGCATTGAAATTTAGATGTCTAGCTCTCTTTAAAAAAGAGAGGGTTGACTATTATCATTTAGAATTTTCCCTTTCCCAAAGTTTCACCTTAGATTTCTATTGAATTACTACTTTTCTTATTGAATTTAAAAAATAAGAAAAATTATTTTACTATCAGGGGTTGAGCCAGTCTTCTTGTTAACAATTTAGATATGCGTATGAAGCAAAATTGGGTGGAGATTTTGAAGTGAAGGTGGGTCTCCTTGCGCAGATGAGGTGCAATTTTAATGTCCAGAAATTCTTGAGATGAAGCAGACAATATCAGCTAACTTCCACACAAGTCTAATATGTTGCTGTCATCATACTGTCCTTATAGCGAATGGGGGAGAGGATGGAAAAGGTGAGAATTAGGAGGTGGAGGTGCCAAGGACAAGGGCAGGCTCAGAAGAAGGTAAAGTTCCTTGTCATCTGGTGGCCTTGTCCTTGTAGCCCTGGTGAGCACACCCAGCCGGGCTCTGGGGGTCATCAGGGCAGCCTAGAAGATAAGAACCAGGAGGGAACTCTTCCAAATCTGAATGGTCACTTGCAGAGGACACAAAACAGTGGGGGTGGGGTGAGGGAAGGGCCACATGGTGAATTTCCTGGGCCCTTCGCATTTTTGCCTTCGTGGGCCCCTTTCTTCCTAGAAATAAATTTCTAAATATCACATTTCACATCTGCATTGGTATAAAAATGAATATATTCATATCCAAACTAAAAGCTCATTGTTCTGATTTTAGAAGAAAGTGAACATTTCTGTGTGCCCTAAAATACTGTGGGCACTAGGCGTAGTGCCTCCTATGCCTAACAGAGAAGTCAGCTGGGAAAAGGAGTGGACACCGTTTAAAATAACACCTTAAAAAGATAAGCAGACTGGGCCGGCCAGGTGGTGCATTTGGTTAGAAAACGAGCTCTGAGCAACAGGGTCACCGGTTGGATTCCCACATGGGCCAGTGAGCTGCACCCGAGCTGAGCTGCCGCTGACCTGCCAAGGGGCGGCTGAGTGCCTTAGCTGGTGAAAGTGCATGCTCTTAACAATAAGGTTGCCTGTTTAATTCCCGCACGGGATAGTGGGATGCGCCCCCAACTAAGGTTAAACACAGCACCTTGAGCTGAGCAGCCACAAACTGCCGACGGGTAGCCAGGTGGCTCAGTTGGTTAGAGTGCAGTGCTCTTAACAACAAGGGTGCTGGCCAGTTCAATTCCCGCATGGGATGGTGGGCTGCACACACACACACACACACACACACACACACACACACACACAC